GGGGTGTGGTATATTTATGTTAAGCAAAATCTACCAGCTTGTCTGGTAGAATCAGATCAAGGAAGATATGTTATGATTGAACTTGACTTATATGGTAAGAAAATACTTATAGTGGGATTGTATGCACCAAACCAGCAACAGGAACAATTTTACAGGTTGTTACATCAGAAAATAACTCTGTTGGATTATAGGTCTGTGATATTAATGGGAGACTGGAATGGTGTTTTAGATACACAAAAGGACAAAAAAGGTTTTTCTACCTTTTTTAAACAGGCTAAACTACCTAAAGCCTTTTTTGATTTGAAAGAAGACTGGGAATTGAGAGACTGTTGGCGTGAACGTAATCAAGAGGAAAGAGATTTTACCTTTTTTTCAGATAGACACCAATCTTTTTCAAGGATTGATTTCTTCCTGATTACAACAGATTTATATAACAGGGTGAAGAATGTAAAAATTTTTCCTAGGTCATTGACGGATCATAGTCCAGTCTGGATGGAACTGGTTGCTGAGAAAGAGGAGAGGAGATCTTGGAGGTTGAATGAGAATTTATTTAAACAAGAAAAAAATGTTCAAAAATTAAAGGAATGCTTAAAGGATTATTTTGCTTTAAACATGTATAAGGGAACATCAATGTCAATGGTATGGGATGCAAGTAAAGCCTTTATGCGTGGGATTTTGATAAAAATGAATAATTTTCATAGACAAAAGCAGACTCAGAAACGTAAAGAATTGGAAGATGAGATCAAATTAAGATGAGAGAAGCTTTTAATTTCAAATCCTTTAGATGAAAAGGTGAAAGAAGCTATAAAATTGTTAAAAACACAATTTAATATGTTGATGGCTGACCAAGCTGCAACTAATTTAATGTTTATGAAACAAAATACATTTTGTAATGCTAATAAACCAGGGAGATGGTTGGCTTATCAGTTAAGAAAGAAACAGAGACAGAGAATTATAGATAAAATAAATTATAATGGTAAATTGGTTTATCAGAAAGAACTGATTAAGAAATCTTTTTTAGATTATTATCAGAAATTATATAAGAGTACTAATGTACAAACTATAGATATAAATAATTATTTAAGTAAAGCTAATTTTCCTAAATTAACAGAAGATCAGAAAAAAGAGATTAATGGTTTAATTACCAATGAGGAAATTGTGACAGCTAATAAGCAATTAAAATTAGGTAAAGCGCCGGGTACGGATGGTTTGACATCTATTTATTATAAAACCTTAGTAGAAGAGATGATTCAACCTTTATGTGAGCTTTTTAACAATATATTACAGGGTTTAGAGATTCCTCCGTCATGGCGCAATGCTTTCACATCTTTGATTCCAAAAGAGGATCAAGATCTCACTTTGCCTAAGAATTATAGGCCTATATCTCTCTTAAATGTGGATTATAAAATTTTTGCAAAAATTTTAGCTAATAGGTTTATGGGGGTCTTGCAGCAGCTTATACATAAGGATCAATCGGGTTTTATAACTGGAAGGTATATGAAAAATAATGTTAGACAAATTATTAACTTATTAGAATATTTAGATAAAAACAACCAAGTCTCTGCAGGGCTGATATTTTTGGATGCTGAAAAAGCCTTTGACCAGCTGAATTGGCAGTTTATGTTAAGTTTAATTAAGGAGATGAATTTTGGACAAAATATATTACAAGCTTTATCTAGCATATATCAAAAACAGACTGCTCAACTTATTGTTAATGGTGGTTTGTCAGAGGTTTTCACAATAGAAAAAGGTACAAGACAGGGATGCCCATTATCTCCGTTATTGTTTGTTTTAACATTGGAAATTTTGTTGATTAAAATTCGGGAATCGCAAGAAATAAAAGGAATAGAAGTTAATAAAAAAGAATATAAGTTAAGAGCTTTTGCAGACGACTTGGTTGTTACTTTATCTCAACCTACTTACTCGGTAGTAAAATTATTACAATTGATTCACCAATACGGGTGTGTTTCGGGTTTTAAAATTAATAATAATAAGACTAAAATATTATCTAAAAATATGACTAATTGTGATAAACAGACCTTGGTTAATTTAACAGATTTTGAAGTTGTTGATAAGGTAAAATATTTGGGGGTCATATTATCTGCTTCTAATGTAAAATTGTATAAAAACAATTATGAAAAGTTGTGGATTGGGGTACAGAAGGATTTAAAGAATTGGGATAACTTACAGTTATCTCTTATGGGTAGAATTGCAGTTATCAAAATGAATGTTCTACCAAAATTTCTTTTTCTGTTTCAAATGTTACCTATCTTAAAGAATGAACTTAATTTAAATGAATGGCAGAAAGGTATTAACAAATTTATTTGGGCAGGGAAAAAACCAAGGGTAAAACTTAAAATTATGCAAGATTTCTGTGAGAGAGGTGGACTCAAGGTACCAAATTTGAAATTATATTATGATGCTGTGGTTTTAACATTGATTAGTGATTGGGTGAACTTAACAAATGTAGAAATACTCCATTTGGAGGGTTGGGATTTACTTTTTGGATGGCATGCCTATTTAATTTTTAATAAAAAAGTGGATCGGGTTTTAAAATCTCATATTATAAGGATTTCTTTACTTAGGGTATGGAGGAAATATTATAAAAGTGATTTTAAAATACCATTATGGGCTATACCTTGGCATGCGATAGAGGGGATAAAGAGAGGAGTTAAGATGGATACGGTTTCCTATATACAACTACTTAGATGGGATGGTCAAAATTGGCAGTTAAAATCTTTGGAAGATTTAGTACATGAAAATATTACTTACTCATGGTTTCAATATAGACAAATAGTGGATAGATGGAAGATGGATCGTAATATGGGTTGGCTCAGAGAAGATGAAAATCTTTTTAAACAAGTAAGGGATCAAAGACAAACTCATATTAAGAGGGTTTATGGGGTCTTAGTGGAAATGGATTCAGAACCTGAATTAATCAAAGATTGTATGATTAAATGGGTACAAAATATTGGTGAACCAATCCCATTGGATACTTGGGAACTTATTTGGGTGAGGAATGTTAAATTTACACAAGCGCAGAACTTAAGAGAGAATTTTTATAAAATGTTTTATAGATGGCACCTTGATCCACAAAAAATGTCTATTATGTACCCTGATCTACAGCCTAAATGTTGGAGATGTGGTTGTTTGGATGCTACCTATTATCATATTTGGTGGTCGTGTAAAAATATAAAAGCTTTTTGGATTAAGATATGGTGGAATATTCAAAGAATCTTTAGAAGGAGGGTAAAATTTACCCCGCAATTATTTTTATTAGGTATTGTTACTGATTGTGATGCTAAGGAAGTTATATTGATGTTAAATTTGATTACAGCCACAAGGCTGTTAGTAGGACAATATTGGAAGAAGGAATCTTTGCCTACCTTACAAGAGTGGTTTTATAAAGTTTCTTACTTGGCGGAAATGGCAAAGATTTCGGCTTTCTTAAAGGAGCAATCTCAAGAGAAATTTTTTGTTGTATGGGAAAAATGGATAAATTTCATACAATATAATTTGGATATGAAAAAATATCATTTAGCTTTTTTATAACTTTTATAAAAAATTTTGATATTTTATATTCTTTTCTTTTCCCGTCTTTTGTTTTCTCTCTTCTTTTTTTCTTTTATCTTTTATCTTTCTTTCTTTTTCTTTTTCTTTCTCTCTCTCTTTCCTCTTTTTTTTCTCTTTTTTTAAGTATTTTTTTTAATGTTTATGTCATAAATATTTTATTATTAATTATTTTATAAGTTGTAAAAATTTGTTTAGGTTTTTTAAAATTTTAAATAAGCCTATATTCAGTTCTGGGAAGCTCGGGGAGGGGGGAGGGAGGGGTGGGTTTGGGAGGGATTGGGTGAGGGTTGCTTTGTTTCTGTTGTTTATTTGTAAAACTTTTAAAAATTTTCAATAAAAAAAATGATAAAGGGTCTGGAGGTTAAATCGTATGATGACAGGTATGTCTAGAAGAGAAGAATTAGGGAGGACATGATAGTTGTCTTCCAGTATTTGAGGGGCTGTCACAAAAAAGGATTTGAGTTATACTTTAGGGACTTCAGGACAGGACAAGAAGTACAGATAATCTTTGACATACAGCCACAACAGCGAGCAAAATTTATGTTGCTAAGTGAGAAATTTGTAAAGTGAATTTTGCCCCATTTTACAGCCTTTCTTGACACAGTTGTTAAGAGAATAATTGCAATTGTTAAATTAGTAACATGTTTGTTCAGTGAAACTGTCTTCCCCATTGGCTTTGCTTGTCAGAAAGTCTCAAATGGGATCACGTGACTCTCATGACACTGCAATTGACATAAATATGAACCAGTTACCAAGCATTCAAATTTATTTAATGAGCATGAGCATGGGAATGCTGCATGGCTGTAAGTGTGAAAATGGTCATAAGTCACTTTTTTTAGTGCCATTGAAACTTCAAATGGTTGCTGAACAAACTGTTATAAGGGCTACCTGCAATGGATGGAAACTTGTCAAAGAAAGAACTGAAGATGTTACCTAGTTTTGGTAATGAAATGTCTGCAAGAAAACAACCTCAGGGAGCACCAATACCCTTCATTTCAACCCTGAGCTACTGCTTTTCTTCTTTATTGCTAACTTGATTAAACTTGGTGAATAAAAAAGCCATTTGGCTATTTTGCTGGTTAGTTTTGAGGAGGAAGTTGCAGATGGATTTTGCCACCAATGAGAAAATCCTGTCTCTTGTGCCTATAACATAGATTCTTGTCCATGAACAATTACATCTTCTTAGAAGGTCTTGATGTCCATCATATAAGATACAGGCTGGCAAGCACTGCAATCATGGTCACTATACCACATGTTTTCTCGTAGTGTCCATGTGTCTCCCAAAGTAAATAAGTATTTTTATAATAAAAATGAACATAGTTAGAATCTTACAAAATGGCAACATTGCACAAAAGCTTGGTATTCCCACCTGAAATTCAGAGAGAAGTTTGGAAAGAACAAAACTAACTGTCTGCTGATGCCCTCAGGTATTATTTTCTCCAATGGCCAAATCTGGAAACAGCACCGGTACATTGCCTTCACTTCTCTGCGAAAGCTGGGCCTGGGAGACAAAAGCGTTGAGCATCAGATAGAAGGTACAGCTCAGACCCTGGTGGAGAGCTTTAGAGAAACAAAAGGTATGAAGTTTGGGGTAATGGGGTAATTCTGTCTGCAGAATTTTTTTCCATTCCATGTATTTTGAACAGATGTATTTGATCTGATTGTTTAAAATTTTGAACCAATTGATTTCCAATTCTTTTCTCATTCCCTTAGAAATCCTATTCTTTAATAACTGATTATGAAATATCTTCATTTGCAGGACAGCCTTTTGACCCTTCATTTCTAGCAATAAATGCAATTTATTTATTTATTGCATTTATTTTATGTCATATGTGCTTTGAGTTTTGGGTATCAGTTTGCTCCTGAAGATGAAAAGTTCCAGAAGCTAATTCAAGCGCTTGAAATTATTGCGAAATTCACTGGTACCTTTTTTCATATGGTAAGTCATGTTTTCCATTAAAGAGATAAAACTGTTTCCATCAGTATTTTCATGTAATCATGAATGGAAACCATGGAGAAAGCCTTGGAAATCATGTATTGTACTATTATCTCCAGTAGCCAAGACTTTGCAGTTTCCTTGTCGAGATTTGGGAAATGGTTTGCCATTGCCCAATGCCTAGGTGTCAGCGCTGCAACAACTGAAAAGTTGTGGCCATTTTACCTTTTGCCTTTGTTGTTTCTTTTTGTTGTTTGGTATTTTAGACGGAGAAGAGAGGAGGGGGGAAGCTTGAGTTATTTCAGTTAGCCACAACAATTGCAGCTGTGTAAGAATCAAGGTCAATGTTAGAAAAAGTTTTGGCAGGTTGACAAGTTGGGAGGAGAGCAAGCGTTTTAGAATAATTGGTGAATGTGATTTATGACAACCTTTCTGGGGTGGGAATTGCACCTTGTTACTTTGTAGCAGGGGGAGGGAACTTTAGTTTTGGGTTCACCTATGTAAGTGCCAATACTTTGTTTTCTAAATAAAATGTTCTTTTGAGGAAGAAATCTTTGCCTTGATGTTCTTTTAATTGGTTTCATCTACTGGAACCATGACACTAGGGCTGAGAGAGAGGGACTGGTCCAGTGTTGCCCAATTGATTTAATCTTGAGTTGGGACTAGTATTCAGAATATGTCACTTTTTATATCAGTGGATTAACAATTACACCAAAGTGGTTTTGCCCATGAAGGAATCCATTATTTCAGTATCACTAGCATATGGCTGCCCATCTCGTGTTTAAACAGTTCTAGAAAAGATGATCCACCACTTCCTGGGTCAGTCTGTCATTGAACAGTTCTTTCAAATGTTTTCTAATACCAAACCAACATCTGCTTCATTATAATTTAAGCCCATAGCTTCCATGCAGAAATTCTTTTGCTGCAGCTACCAAAAAAGTCAAAGCAGTCCTAGGCTGCATTAACAGAGGGATAGAATCAAGATCAGATGAAGGGTTAGTACTGATTTATAAGGCCTTGATAATGGGCACACTTGGAATATTGCATCCACTTTTGGTTGCCACAAGATAAAAAGACTCTGGAAAGAGTGCAGAGAAGAGCAACAAAGATGATTGGGGGGCAGGAGACTAAAACATATGAAGAACAGCTGCAGGAATTGGGTATATGTAAGGACCTGCCCTAGTTGTCCTCTCAGGAATGTATGACTGGTATATCTAGTCTAATGAAAAGAAGAAGTAGTGGTGTCATGGTTGTAGTGTTACAATATCTAAGGGGTTGCCACAAAGATGAGGGGTCAACCTCTGAAGCCCCTTAAGACAACACAAGAAACAATGGATGGAAACTAATCAAGAAGAAAACCCGGGCTTCCAGTTCCGGATTGCGGCACTGGCGGATGTTCGAGGTGATCACTCCCTCCGCTGTCCAGTTTCCTTTGCCAGGAAACCCAGAAAGGGATCAAAAGTCACTTTGGAGGACCTCCGACTGATCACGGAAGGGCAGCAGCCCTTCCGTTTGATCCGGAGCAGCTCTTCGGACCAACGGAGAAAAGATCGGCCACCCACATGGCCCATCATTAATGTCATTTCCAGCTGAGGCCAAACTCACAACTAAGCACTTGAAAGCACCATGGAGGAACTGGGTGAGATCCTACCTTCTTTTTACCCCACGTATTCTTTCCTGCAAAAGCTCTCTGAAATTGCTTTCCACTGTGTGGAGAGAGGGAAGGGAATGTCTTTCTCCCACCCTCTAAAATGGCAGCGGCTGCCTACATAGGGGAGATAAAGCCCTGAAAAATATATCTAAGTAATTGGACTTACATGCTTCTTAGATCTGGTGACCCAAAAAGTTCCTACCTTCACAGGAACTGGCTATCTTAACTATCTGGGGGGAAAAATGAAAAGAACCTAAACTGGATAAAAGTCTAGCCTTTTTGAAAAGGATTTTAAAGGCCACCAGGGACATCTTGTGGTGAAGCCTGGTATAGCAAGTGAATATCCCTGGTAAAGAGACCTGTTTATAACTTAGACCTGTTCTTAGTACTTGATAAAAAGCTTCAGCTGGGAGTTGAAACTGGCTCTTAAGAACTGTGGAGGTAAACATTTACTGACTCTTGCTTAAAAAATTAGCCTCCACTAAAGGACTATCTATAAATATTTCAGAAATGGAGGGAAACCAGCAACAAACTTTCCTTGACTATAAACTTATACTTGAAAAATCCTTGAAGCTACTGAAATATATAAATCCAGACTGAACGACAAAGGCGCTAGCTTGAACCTACAAACTGAAACCCAGATTCCAACCAAAGAATTTACAACCCAGAAAACAACAGAAGCGGGAGAAATCAATACTAAGACAGAGGACTTTAAGGAACAATAACAATATATTGAAAATTCTGACAACCAAATCCTGAATGCAACCAAAGAACCTACAACACAAAAAATAACAGAAATGGAACAAAGCAATACTAAAACAGAAGATGCTAAAGATCAACAAGGACGACACATTGAAAACCTAGATAACCAATCAATAACTAAAAAATTGGACATGACCTTTTACCTAATCCAGAAGAAACCTGAGGAAGAAGAAGACCAGATCAAATTGAAGATAAAGTCACTAGAACAAATACTGACACTTGAATTACCAGGACAACAACTTAATGATTATAAATGAACCAGTTCTTTTGAAAAAAATGATGACTAGACAGTCTCCTTTGATTCAAGTAACATGTACCAGAATGAAAGGAGACCTATTTGATAACTTAAAGACATGGGTATGGAAACCTGGCTGGCAGAAAAAGAAAGCTAGAATTAGGTTTAAAAAATGGGGCCTTCTGACTTACTAAGAGAAATCCTAAAGTCTCAACTAATGGGCTAATGGGAGGCCTGGAGATGAAGGGAAATATGACTATTAGATTCAAATGTTGCTGGATTAATTGGCCTAATAATTAGGGTTTAGATTTATAAGGGAAATGGAAATTAAATATTAGAAATTAGCCTTAGCCCAGAAAATATAGATGACGGATGGATTTGAGACAATAAAAGTTACTCTATTAGTAAGCTGTGATGTACTAGGATGAGAATTAGAAAATGTTTATGAAATAAAAATGGAATATATTTAAATAAATAATATGTGTATTTTTGATATCATAACTTTTGTGTAGTGAAATAAAGGAAATTTGGGTTACCAGAAATTTGAATATTATGGATGTTAAAGATTAAAATTGGAATACTGTAATTAGAAATTAAGAATTAGGTAAAACTTAAAAACAGGATATGGATATGTATAAACAAAAGATAGATTGATAAATGGTTTAATTGAGCTTGCTATGGCTAGAAATTTACTAGTTTATGTTATATCAAATGTTAATGGGAAATAGAGAAGGAATTTTTGATAATGTAACCTGAGATATGTACTAAAAATGCTGTTATTGAACTATTGACTACCCAGTCACCACGTTGCTTTCTAAATACTTGGATGTTAAACTTGGAAAACTAATAAAATTTGTTACATACACAAAAAAAGAAGAGAACCCAACCTAGAACTAAGGAGAAATTTCCTGACAGGGAGAACAACTAACCAGTGGAATGGCTTGCCTTCAGAAGTTGTGGGTGCTCCACCACTGGAGATTTTAAAGAAGAGATTGGCTAGCCATTGTCTGAAATGATATAGAATCTCTTGCTTTATAATAATCTATCTGCCTCTAACATAATTCTTTTCTGGAAGAATTTGGAAACAGCTTTTCTGGAGGACTTTTGAGGTCTGACTCCATGCATTGTTTGCCGTGTTTCAATGCGCTTGCAATATTTTTCTTTGGATATTAAGTGCTTTCTATTTCTGTGAGCTGCTGAGAGTGTTTGTTCAGCTGTAGTGGAGAATAAATCAACAAACTTTTCCTTTTCCATTTCTATTAGCTGTTTATTGATTTCCCACAATTAATGAAGTATATCCCGGGCCCTCACAAAGATGCCTTGGCTTCTATAGAGGTGATCAATTCCTTTGCAAAGCAGGAAGTAGAGAAACACAAGGAATCCAGCTCTCTGCACAAGCCACAAGATTTCATTGATCACTACTTTCTTCAGATGGAAAAGGTAGAGTTGATGGTAGTTCAATACCTGGGCAAGGAATATTTACATTCAACTCCCATTCTGAATTTAACTTGTGCTAAATTCCAGTTGCCTCTAAATAAGGACTATATTGCATCTCTGCAATATTAGACTCTTGTTATACATGGGAGGTTCCTTGGGAAAGTTAGAAATGTTTCTGTTTGTCATCCTGTAATGTTTGCCTACTACTCCTTTCCCCTTTTTATAAAGAAGTTGCATTAAGAAAGAAAAGTACTAACAAGGTAAAGACTTTTGATTGATTCATACTTAAATGAATACTTGCCCCAACTAGTTGCTCTTGAATCCATTGAGTTGAATGAAAATAACTTTTACTGAGAGAAAATGGCATAGTATAGTCAGGCAGAATCTGAAAGTCTGAAAGTCTGGAACGAAGCACAAAGTAATTCTTTCATTTTCCCCAAACCCAACCCCCCTGACCAGTCCACCAGCAGCTAATATGATGCCGAGAAGTTTTTTTGAGGATGCTGAGGTGCTGGGCAGATAATAGGTCACTTTCAGAGCATGATGGCCTTGGAACCAGGTTAGAACCAGCTAGGAAGGAGTCTGCCCCATCTCTGAGAACAATCCCCCTTTGTAATTCCCAAGCATAAAGCAAAAGTGAAAGCATTCTCAATGCCAACCTCCCTCCCCCCTAACAAAATGGAAGAACATGTTGGTGGACCTGACAATACTTACCCTGAAATGACTTTCATAGCTTTGACCTTAAGTAAGAATGTAAAACAGTTTGAAACGAGGAATAAATGAATTGATTCCCTCAATAAATTTTATGCATGTACCTAGCTTTCGTTTACATTTCCAACAATTATTCGAAGTGCTTTTAAACATTTCACTAATCTTACTGGTGTCATGTGCCATCTGTAAAATATTTTATACAAATTTTCTTTATATGAAGCAGCTTTAATCAGTTTAATATTTCTATCGCATAACTTTTGCCAATCTTCTAAGCCTATAGAATATCCAAAGTTTTTTGCCCATGTTACCATTGTTTCTTTTACTTGTTCTTCTTCCATCTTCAAATTTAGAAGAAATCTGTAAAGTTTCTTAATCAAGTTTTCATCTGTTTTTAAAAGTATTTGATCAAATTCTATCTGCTTTTTATAAAATCCCATTGTCTTTGCACCTTTTCGATATCTTGTTTGAGTTTGCAAATAGGGCCACCATGCTAGGTCAATACCTTGTCGTTGTAAATCTTGCCTATCTTTCAATTTTCCAGAATGTCTTTGTAAGTAATGACTTTGTCGTAGTTAATCCTCACACTCCACAATCTACACACACACACACAGTGTATCCCCACCTTGAGCTGGGCTCTTCCACTGGCCAAAATGAGAGGAGACCACATTCACACATAAAGGCCCTTCTCTTCTCACACCCGGGCAAAAGGGTAGCAAACATACAATAGCAACATATTCAGATGACCCCAATGCTCTCAACCTATCAATGTTCTTCAAAGTATCTGTCAATGTCCTTCAAACTATTGCCACTTTCTGGGCTCTATGTGTGTTGGGATTCTAAAGTTTGCAGCCACAACCTGGCATTCAACCCCAGTCACTACCTCATTGACTTTTATGCTACCACTGGCCCTGGTCCTCCTTACCAGAAGGTTCCAAATCCATATCTCTTCTTTCAATCTCTGATTTCTAATCTGGTCACATATTTCACTGCAAAGGCCACTGTTGATTCTCTGGGCCAGTTCTTGTTTTCAGTCCCTGCCAGCATGACATCGTTCTGGGCTGTCTTCAGCTCCAACTCCAAGCTGACTCTTCACTATACCTCTATCAGCCTTCCACCCTCAACACACATTCTTTGGCATGGCTTCCAGCCCTGCAACCCTTTCAGACTGGCACTGGGTCAGATTCAGGGCCACCTCTCTACCTCCCACCAGTCTCATAGAAGCATGGTGGCTCAGATGGTTAGAATGCTGGGCTGACAATCTGCAAGCCCTTGTTCGAGACCTGAGGGCTGCCTTGCTGTTGGGTGAGCTTCTGACACTTGCTCCAGCTCCTGCTGACCTAGCCGTTTGAAAGCTTGTAAATGTGAGTAGATAAATAGGTACCACTTTGGTGGGCTCATTTAGGGGACATGAAAGGAGTCCCCAAATGAGCATTCCCCAGGCAACATGATCATACCAGTTAGTATTTTTAACAACTTGGTACTTCCAACATTTTACGATGATGAGCAGTCTGTTGTCCAAGTTGTGTCCCTCGGTGCTTCAGACAATGGCCCTAGATTGCCTCTCCCCCTCCACCCCAAATCTGTGGCCAGGGGTCTGCACTGGTTGGCAGGATGAAAATATGAGCTTCAGCTGGCTCATGAATCCAGACCACCAAGTTCTAGCTTAGTCTCTTCAGTCTCTTGTCTCTGGTCAAGGAGCAGACCCAGAAGTAGCAGAGCAGGAAGAAGATTAAAGAGAAGACTGAAGAAGGTGCTCCAAGCGATAACTGCCCCCCCCTTCCAATTTCCCCATCCCTTCCCTTCATGGCAGGGAGCTTTGTGTCGTGCATCTGCTTGCTCCCACATCTTGACTTTTTTTCTACATTTATTATCATTCTGAAATTTGGTCCTCTGTATGCAATTTAGGCCAAGACCAAGTAACAAATCTGAAAACCATGGTAGATTTCTACATTGAATGTGTTAAATGTTTCAGATTGGTACTGATTCCAGTTTTTAATTCCTCACTCAACATTTTATTGAGAATTCAAAGAAGGCTCTCTGTTTGTACATTCCTGGCTTTCCTTTAATCCTCCTAAATTCATGCCCCTGTTTACAGGATCAAGAATCTACATAGGAAAATTATTATGAAGAATAGATTCAGTTGCTCATTCGATAGCTTAGAATTTCAAATAATTTCTGCATATTATAGAACTTAAGACTGGCCCTTGTTCCCACAGCCCAGATGTCTCTCACCTTGGATGTCGGGATGATTGGTCAAGAGGAGCAGTGCCCACATCAGAAGAGTGAAGGTTGTCTTTGTTCCAGCAAAAAAAAAATCACAAATACACTGAACCAGGTTCTCTTCATTGTAGGTAGAGTTGGGGTCATTCTTGCTCTGATGTTTAAAATGGAAAATGAAAATTACAATGAATTCTATGCAACTTTTCTATAGTTATTTTTGTCTCTGTGTAATAAGTCATGAGAATAAATATAGTCATGTTGTTATATAGGAAAATCAATGCAGGAGAGTAAGTGGTAGGTTCACACTATAAAAACTATCTTAAAGTAGCCAAGATCAAAGAGAGATTTGGCTTTGGAAAAAAATGAATTAATTTCCTTTTATTTTATGGTTGGTTATCTCAGTAAATGTTTGCATGTGGAATGGTGATTATGGGTACCTACTAGAGTGAATCACAAAAATTCACAACCAGGATTATCTGCATGCATTCTAATTTAAAGTTATGCCCAAAAGTGATTATATGACTGCTCAAACTGTAAGCTTTTGTGGATATTATGCAACAACATGGGAATTTTTGAATGCATTCTAGATTTTTCTGAGTCCTCATCAAGTTTTCACCAGACCATTAGAGAAGTCAAGTGTCTGTTCCAGCAGCAAAAAAAAAAAAAAAAAAAAAAATCTTTTGGGCCAGACTCTCTTCATATTTTATGTTGGGGTCATTCCTGCTCTGGTGTTTAAAATGGAAAATAACAATGAATTCTATGCAGCTTTTCTATAGTTATTTTTGTCTCTGTGTCACAAGTCATGAGAATAAATATATTCCTGGTAGTTATATTAGAAAATCAATGCATAAGAGTGAGAATTAAAATGGAGGTTCACGCTGAGTAAGACACCGTATTGAAGTAGAGCAAGATCAAAGACAGGTTTGGCTTTCAAAGAAATTTAACACCTTTTGTTTTGATTTATAATTGATTCCCTCAATAAATTTTATGCATGTGGAACAGTAATTAATGTGTACCTACTAGAGCAGTATTCTCCAAGTTTTGAGGGTTGACAGCTGGGAGTGGGGGAAAGAGGGAAAGAAGGGATGGTTTTGTGGGAGATGAACAGTGTGTGTGTGTGCAAGCACAAACACTTGTTGCTTGTGAAAGTGGAGCCCTGAGCACCCATGACATCCGTGTGAGTAGGGTTGTGAACACCCGTGATGCTTGCAGCAATACTCACTTGAGTGGGGCAGTGCACACGCACACACATATGAGCACCAGCCAGCCACTCACACAACCTGGTGGCCCACAGGTTGGGGACCCTGTTCTAGAGTGAATCACAAAACACCACAAGCAGGATTATCTGCATCCACTCTAATCTAAAGTTATGCCCAAAGTGATGAACATGACTGATGTCACTACAAGATTTTGTGGCTATTATGCCACACCATCACAATTTATGCATTTTTTTAGAGTACATTAGCCCTTGATATATAACTGTTCATTTGCTGATCATCCAAAGTTTCAACAGCAGTGAAAAACATGACTTATGACCTAATTTCATACCCATGGTCACGTGATCAAAAGTCAGGTGCTTGGCAATGGGCATGTATTAATGACAGTTGCACTGTCCTGGGGTCATGTGATCACCATTCATAACCTTCCTAGCTGCCTTCTGACAAGCAAAGTCAATGAAGATGCCAGATTCACTTAACGACCACATGGTTCACTTAACAACTGCAGTGATTCACTTAACAGCTGTAGCAAGAAAGGCCATAAAATGGGGCAGAATTCACTGCCTTGCTTAGCAATAGAAATTTTGGGCCCAGTTTTGGTCATACATCGGGGACAACCTGGATTCTTGCGAGACCTCAATAACCTTTCACCGAACCAGGGTAATGTCACGAAGAATTATGGGACAAACAAGACAATCCAGTCTACCTGTCTATTAATGGAGAAGCATCTTGAGGAACAAAACACCACAGATATGGCAATCACTGAGACACAAAAGTGTTTGAGCAAGTACCACATGACCTATTCCTTTCCCATCCACAAATGGTCCAACCACCCACCATCGCTCTTTATAATTAGTGTGGACATTGTAACCAGAAACCTACAATGATAACATTCACAGATGCTATTATGTACTGGTGATAACTCTGATAGAGAGTGAAAGAAGAATTGAAGCACTGAACCACCCGTGAACCATTAATACAAAGGTGGAAAATCTGCCTCAGTTGTTTAGGAATGAGGGCCAGTATTAAGAAGAATGTATATTTTGAACATGCTGACCAGACCAATGGGATACTCAAATAAAGTGACCCAGGGCAAAGTAACTTCAAATTGATAAAAGTTGCTCAAAAAAAATCAATATTTTTCTGAAAACAAGAGAGTGGAGGACATTTATTCCTCGTTTCAAACTGTTTTACATTCTTACTTAAGGTCAAAGCTATGAAAGTCTCCCACAAAACCATCCCTTCTTTCCCTCTTTCCCCCACTCCCAGCTGTCAACCCTCAAAACTTGGAGAATACTGCTCTAGTAGGTACACATTAATTACTGTTCCACATGCATAAAATTTATTGAGGGAATCAATTATAAATCAAAACAAAAGGTGTTAAATTTCTTTGAAAGCCAAACCTGTCTTTGATCTTGCTCTACTTCAATACGGTGTCTTACTCAGCGTGAACCTCCATTTTAATTCTCACTCTTATGCATTGATTTTCTAATATAACTACCAGGAATATATTTATTCTCATGACTTGTGACACAGAGACAAAAATAACTATAGAAAAGCTGCATAGAATTCATTGTTATTTTCCATTTTAAACACCAGAGCAGGAATGACCCCAACATAAAATATGAAGAGAGTCTGGCCCAAAAGATTTTTTTTTTTTTTTTTTTTTTTGCTGCTGGAACAGACACTTGACTTCTCTAATGGTCTGGTGAAAACTTGATGAGGACTCAGAAAAATCTAGAATGCATTCAAAAATTCCCATGTTGTTGCATAATATCCACAAAAGCTTACAGTTTGAGCAGTCATATAATCACTTTTGGGCATAACTTTAAATTAGAATGCATGCAGATAATCCTGGTTGTGAATTTTTGTGATTCACTCTAGTAGGTACCCATAATCACCATTCCACATGCAAACATTTACTGAGATAACCAACCATAAAATAAAAGGAAATTAATTCATTTTTTTCCAAAGCCAAATCTCTCTTTGATCTTGGCTACTTTAAGATAGTTTTTATAGTGTGAACCTACCACTTACTCTCCTGCATTGATTTTCCTATATAACAACATGACTATATTTATTCTCATGACTTATTACACAGAGACAAAAATAACTATAGAAAAGTTGCATAGAATTCATTGTAATTTTCATTTTCCATTTTAAACATCAGAGCAAGAATGACCCCAACTCTACCTACAATGAAGAGAACCTGGTTCAGTGTATTTGTGATTTTTTTTTTGCTGGAACAAAGACAACCTTCACTCTTCTGATGTGGGCACTGCTCCTCTTGACCCATCATCCCGACATCCAAGGTGAGAGACATCTGGGCTGTGGGAACAAGGGCCAGTCTTAAGTTCTATAATATGCAGAAATTATTTGAAATTCTAAGCTATCGAATGAGCAACTGAATCTATTCTTCATAATAATTTTCCTATGTAGATTCTTGATCCTGTAAACAGGGGCATGAATTTAGGAGGATTAAAGGAAAGCCAGGAATGTACAAACAGAGAGCCTTCTTTGAATTCTCAATAAAATGTTGAGTGAGGAATTAAAAACTGGAATCAGTACCAATCTGAAACATTTAACACATTCAATGTAGAAATCTACCATGGTTTTCAGATTTGTTACTTGGTCTTGGCCTAAATTGCATACAGAGGACCAAATTTCAGAATGATAATAAATGTAGAAAAAAAGTCAAGATGTGGGAGCAAGCAGATGCACGACACAAAGCTCCCTGCCATGAAGGGAAGGGATGGGGAAATTGGACGGGGGGGGCAGTTATCGCTTGGAGCACCTTCTTCAGTCTTCTCTTTAATCTTCTTCCTGCTCTGCTACTTCTGGGTCTGCTCCTTGACCAGAGACAAGAGACTGAAGAGACTAAGCTAGAACTTGGTGGTCTGGATTCATGAGCCAGCTGAAGCTCATATTTTCATCCTGCCAACCAGTGCAGACCCCTGGCCACAGATTTGGGGTGGAGGGGGAGAGGCAATCTAGGGCCATTGTCTGCAGCACCGAGGGACACAACTTGGACAACAGACTGCTCATCATCGTAAAATGTTGGAAGTACCAAGTTGTTAAAAATACTAACTGGTATGATCATGTTGCCTGGGGAATGCTCATTTGGGGACTCCTTTCATGTCCCCTAAATGAGCCCACCAAAGTGGTACCTATTTATCTACTCACATTTACAAGCTTTCAAACGGCTAGGTCAGCAGGAGCTGGAGCAAGTGTCAGAAGCTCACCCAACAGCAAGGCAGCCCTCAGGTCTCGAACAAGGGCTTGCAGATTGTCAGCCCAGCATTCTAACCATCTGAGCCACCATGCTTCTATGAGACTGGTGGGAGGTAGAGAGGTGGCCCTGAATCTGACCCAGTGCCAGTCTGAAAGGGTTGCAGGGCTGGAAGCCATGCCAAAGAATGTGTGTTGAGGGTGGAAGGCTGATAGAGGTATAGTGAAGAGTCAGCTTGGAGTTGGAGCTGAAGACAGCCCAGAACGATGTCATGCTGGCAGGGACTGAAAACAAGAACTGGCCCAGAGAATCAACAGTGGCCTTTGCAGTGAAATATGTGACCAGATTAGAAATCAGAGATTGAAAGAAGAGATATGGATTTGGAACCTTCTGGTAAGGAGGACCAGGGCCAGTGGTAGCATAAAAGTCAATGAGGTAGTGACTGGGGTTGAATGCCAGGTTGTGGCTGCAAACTTTAGAATCCCAACACACATAGAGCCCAGAAAGTGGCAATAGTTTGAAGGACATTGACAGATACTTTGAAGAACATTGATAGGTTGAGAGCATTGGGGTCATCTGAATATGTTGCTATTGTATGTTTGCTACCCTTTTGCCCGGGTGTGAGAAGAGAAGGGCCTTTATGTGTGAATGTGGTCTCCTCTCATTTTGGCCAGTGGAAGAGCCCAGCTCAAGGTGGGGATACACTGTGTGTGTGTGTGTAGATTGTGGAGTGTGAGGATTAACTACGACAAAGTCATTACTTACAAAGACATTCTGGAAAATTGAAAGATAGGCAAGATTTACAACGACAAGGTATTGACCTAGCATGGTGGCCCTATTTGCAAACTCAAACAAGATATCGAAAAGGTGCAAAGACAATGGGATTTTATAAAAAGCAGATAGACTTTGATCAAATACTTTTAAAAACAGATGAAAACTTGATTAAGAAACTTTACAGATTTCTTCTAAATTTGAAGATGGAAGAAGAACAAGTAAAAGAAACAATGGTAACATGGGCAAAAAACTTTGGATATTCTATAGGCTTAGAAGATTGGCAAAAGTTATGCGATAGAAATATTAAACTGATTAAAGCTGCTTCATATAAAGAAAATTTGTATAAAATATTTTACAGATGGCACATGACACCAGTAAGATTAGTGAAATGTTTAAAAGCACTTCGAATAATTGTTGGAAATGTAAACGAAAGCTAGGTACCTATTACCATATCTGGTGGGTATGCCCTAGAGTGAAGAAATTCTGGCTTAAGATTCATATATGGTTGGAAAAGATGACTAAAATACAGATAGAATTTAAACCAGAATTGTTTTTGTTAAGAATACTAGGAGCCAAGTATGAGAAGGAGTGTGAGTATTTAATATTGCATATATTGACAGCAGCGAGAATAGCATTTGCCCAATACTGGAAAAATGAAAATTTACCATCTGAAGAGGTCATAATTAAGAAAATATTAGAATGTGCAGAAATGGACAGATTAACTTTAGAGATTAAAGAGAAAGAAGATTCAGTTTATTTTAAAACATGGGATAATTTTTATCAATGGCTTAGCAAAAAGATAGTGAGAAATAAATGTGATACCTTATTATGAATATATATTAGTAACATGAGGGACATGCACTGACTAACTGACATTGTTTATGATTATTGTTTCTCATATTTACTATAGCTATTTTCTATTATATTAATTAGTGTTATTGAATATATGCACCCGGACAATAGCCTGCTTGCTAAAGCTTGAGAATGTTTATGTCAATGGGGGGTAACCCCATTGTTTTTCCATCCCTGCCCTAATCCCAACCCTGCCCCCATCCTGAATTCCAACTCCCATACTGATCCTATCCCTCTCCTAACCTTATAAAATTCAATAAAATTTATTTTAAAAAAAGAAGAGAAGGGCCTATATGTGTGAATGTGGTCTCCTCTCTGTTTAGCAAGTGGGAGAGACCAGCTCAAGGTGGGGATACATTGAGTGTGTGTTTGTGTAGATCAGCGGTTCTCAACCTATGGGTCGCAACCCCATTTGGGGTCAAACGACCATTTCACGGGGGTCCCCAAACAAGGCTGTCCACCATTTTTCCCCCTTTTCCTTAGCTGTGCTACTCCCTCTCATTCTATTGGCTTTTGAAAGCCAATAGAATAGACTCTCTTGAATAGAGTCTAATTCTATTGGCTTTCAAAAGCCAATAGGAATTGTCCAGGCTGTCTCTGCCCTGCTGAGCCAGCCAAAAGCCCCAGTCTGCAAACGGTGCTGCAAGCCGAACTTTCTGGAAAGCTTCCCTCCCTGCTGAGCAACTACTAAAAGTAAGTAAAAGAGGGCCAGGGGTGGGAGGTGGGAGGCCGGCAGGTGCAGGGAGGGTTGCTGGCATGCGTGGGGCCTGGCCGGTGGCTTACCTCCCTTGGGCTGGGCCAGCTGGTGGCCCAGCCGGTGGTCGGCCTGAGTCCTCGCTGCCACATGCCATGGCCGCCCAGGAGCACCTGGGCCTGCCTGCCACCGCACCAAACGTGCAGTGGCCAAGGCAAGGCTAGCGGGGAAGCGGCGGGCACAGGGAGGGTTGCTGGCACGTGTGGGGCCCGGCGGGTGCTTTCCCTCTGTTAGAAGTAAGGTCTTCATCCTGGTTCATCCAAGCCGGGAATAAATAAGCAAACATGGTGACTGCTTTGGGAAGAAGGTTACAGTTTATTGCAGAAAGATGGTTCTTCAGGAAAGTGCAGAGGAGAGAGAAGGGCTGAGCACATGGAGCAGTAGGCTTTTATACCCCCTCTAGCCTTGTTTGGAATAGTTTCCTGTTCCTGTGGCATGAACCTTGAGGCTGTTTCTGAGTGTTTGTCTAGGCCTTGATATCTGTGGTTTAATTCTATTATCATATCCTACTTCCCAGGTGATGGGGCTGACTCCTAGAGTTTGGGTGGGGTATGCAGATCTTCTCTTTTGTCTTCTTGATTGCTCTGGCTTCAACTGTCTGATGGTTTTACACCTGCATTTGTATAGGGCTAAAGTCTTGCTTGGGGCAGAGAGATAGATTTGGGGCCAGGTTTGGTTTTAAAAAGTCCTTTTGAGGAAAAATATATTTTTCTGCCCTTTTTAATATTTCTTTCTCTGGGCTAACTTCCATCAATCCCCGCTTTGTGCCTTAAGTGTGAATTTATGACACATTTATTGGCACAACATTAAAATTGATCTGGTCAGGGAAACTTGGTAGACAAGCTTTTAAACTGTTAAGCAAAAAAAAAAAGAGAGAAATAAGACATTAATGGAGGCAGCAGAAAAAGATCCCTTTAGTGACTCCCAAAAGGGAAGCTTGCACCCATAAAGTTCTAAAAGTCAGGGCAAAATTTTGTTAGGTGGAAAAGAAACTTATAGTGTCCAATATTCTGTGCCAATCATTTTCAAATGCTGGATATCACCTTTAGCTTCCAGCTAGGTTTGCATACCCCCCAAAATTCTTCATAGCCATGGTTTTCCTCAGTACATGGCTGCCCGTTTTCAGGGGTTGTTTCCTGCCTTAGCTCTTAATTCAGTGCATCCAGGTTTGTAATGTCCAATTGAGGTTAGCCAATATGCCAGGCTATTAATTTTTTCTTTAAATTGCACATAATGAGCTCTAGGAATCCCAATCTGAGCCCAACAGTGCAAGATATTCAGGGCTGAAGTTTGGGATCTCTTTTCCTGTTGCTTCCTTAGTCAGGGCATATGAATTGCAAATCACCTGAGGGGGCTTGATTCCCTCCCCCTTGGAATCTGTTAGAAGTTGGTCCCACAAAGCTTTGGTGCAATAGAGCAAAAATCAGCCTGGGGAACTTTACTAAAGGTAGGTGGAGGGGATAGACTCTGAATGGTGTGAATGGTGTATGTGTGCACATGCAGCTATTTCTACAAAACAGGCAATACAAACATTCTGGAAAAGTTTTCCCTCCCACCAGATAGAAGTCCAAGGTGTTCAGTACTTGTTCTGCCACCTATTCCCAAGTGCCATCTCTCCATTAATACATTCAACTGGCTTGTTACAATACAAATGGGACAAGAAAGAAAAGTTTACAATGAGTTTCCACCCTCCCCCCACAGTC